AATATCTCTTATTATTTATCTTATCAATATATTAAATCACAATGGTATCTATTTTTTATAATATTTTATGCATGTACCTAAAATTTAAATAACTTTCATCTAAGCATGAAAATTAAACTCTAAAGCTCTTAATCAATTTAATTTAATGAAATCTCTTAACTTTCCTCATTTCTATTTTTTAATTCTTTATTCCTGGCACTAACCTATAACCCTTATGATCAAATTAAAATAATATAATGTACTAAATCTGATTATTCACTATTTATTTTATTCATATAATTCTTTGATTTTTTAGTTAAGCTTGATTGAAAATTATTGTCTTCCATTAACATTATATTCACATATACTAAAATGATATTGCTAATTAAAAATCAAAGACAAGACCTTCATAAACAAACTAGTTTTTCTAAATTTATTTAATAAATAAAAAAAGATTATAATGTTTTTTCAAACTCTTGATATATTTTTCATTAATTGCAATTTTTGTCACATTTTAAAACATTCTATCGAGAAAGTTTTTGATGAAGATTACTTTAATATCATTCAAACATCTAATTATCTTGAAATTTATTCTTTTAAAAATTTACTATTTATATAAGCTAGAATTCTTTGAAACTTAAAATTATTCCAATTATTTATACCTACTATTTTCTATTAAAAATTAATTATTTTAAATTATTATTTTTCAACTTACAAGTAAATAAAGATTGCCTAATTATATATTATTTGATAATAAAATGCATTTAATATTTAGAATATCATAGCTTTTTTTCAGCACTAATTAAACCTAAATTTTTACACATCTTCATATTTATAAAGAAGGATATCGAGCAATTTTAATCGATAATAAAAATTAATAATAATTTCAAGATCTTTAAGAACTTTTTAATTTTAAGTTTAGATTAATAACTTATATAATAGAAGTATTTAAATATCATATAAATTCAGATTCTAAAAAATTATTTAAGAGTCTTAACAAAATATTAGAGATTTAGAAAATAATCAAGAATAGTATGATAAAATTTGAAATTATATTAAAGTTTAAGGGAATTTTAAGTTTATTTATATAATAATAAAAATTTATTTATATATTTGTTTAAAATTAATACCCAATCATTTATCCTTTTCCTTTCCCCCTTAAGTGGATCTGGAATAAGACCACTTGTTGTACTTGTAGCTGTAACTTTTCGACAATTGGCTATATTGTCTTAATGTGTTCCTCAATCATCCAAAATCTTTTTGACTTGGTCTTAATAACAATACTTTTTTGTCCTGTCTTGATTACTGAAGTTGGTCAGGCTAAGTAAAATGCTTTGCTTTTAAGGGCACAGCTCTTACAAAATTTCCTCGTTGCAAGCTGTGATAAGAAACTTACTAATTCTGAATCTGGTACATTTGACTTCGTTATGATCTGATATTCTTTATAGTATTTTTACATTTGAACACAATGGTAAATCTTAATAGAGTCTCAACTCTTAACTATCCTTATACGTTTAATTTTATTCCCTAAACCTATAGACAGCTACAAATAACTGCTTTTTCTAACTTAAGTTTCACCTCAGGGGCATTTTTATAAGGTTCCGATTATCACTTCTTTCTAACAGTATATTGAATTTGTTCTTTTTATTATTGTTATGTTTTCTAAATATCTTTTCTAATTTTTCCAATTCATAGTTTTATTAACGAAACTCAAATCAAGTTTAAGGTTTCTCAGATGACCAAGGTAATTAGAGGCATCCTAAATAGATACCTCATGAGTATCAGATGAATATCTTGAACTCTCTCTCCCTTTCCACTCTCAAGAACATTTGGAGCCTTTATTTCACTCAAATTATTCAGGGCAACGTAAAACGAGTTAAAAAATTCCTAGAAGATTGACTAGGGATGAACTTAGTACTCTTGTAAGAAATTTACTTTGATCAGATCTTTGTCCATCTTACTGTATCTTCCCGATTAAAATTTATAAAATAGATCTAAAATAAATAATTGTGGAAAAAAACTTGAAAATAGTTTTATTTCTTCCAAAAATAATATTGTTATACAAGTAAATAAATTAGAATTTTGATTTTGAGATAAAGAAAGAATTAGAAAATAGAATTAATCAAATATTAGAATCTTTGGAAAGGTTATAGTGGAGGAGAAAACAACAAAAGTAAGGTTTAAGTGTTGGAATGCTGATAATTGATATAACATTTCTATTAAAATGATTTTGATTATTATAAAATGATTATTTTTATCTTTTAATTGGGATGCAGGCCAAATTTGAAGAAAGAGATCTAATAAAATTCAGCAAATTTTCTTTCATAGTACCATATCAATAGTCGAGGCCTTATTCTTAATTATATACAGAGCCCATGATGACTTTTGTGATATCAAATCTAAGAATGAATCCTAGTGATGGGTAGAAAAAAGTTAAAGACATCCAAAGAATACTTAATGGGTATCTCACGAGGATGGGCTTCATTACCTGATCGCCTTAGGAACTTTGGTTTTGATTTAGAAGAGGGGTAGAAAATAGTAAAATCTGCTGCGAAAATTCTTAAATAATACTAAAATAAATTCAATACATTAAATAATAGAAAGTAAATAAGAAGTTTGAGGCTTAACTGAAGCCCATTTTTAGTAACCCAAAGAAGAACCTGCCAAAGCAAAGGGATAATATTGGATAGGAAAAAGCTAAGAGTGAGAGATATGGTAACTCTAGGATAGCTCTTTCATAACTACTCTTGATTTGCGGCTTCTGTCTTAAAGAATATAAGCACTCAAGTGTATCAGATCCATAAAAAGTAAGTACCTGAAGGTTCCCTAACATTCCTTATAGGGGAAGCCTTTTACAAGAACAGAGACTTTCTAATCAGTCTGATCAACATAAGTTGCCAAGACAAAACATCAAAATACTCTCATCAGAGAAGTTCTGAAATCATTGAGGAAAAACCTTAGAATTTATGGTCTAAGGTCGAAAGGCCTATAGTATAGCTAATGTTGTTAATTTAGATCCACTTAAGTGAAAAAGGGAAAATTATTGGGTTTATTATTATAAATTTATTTAAATTATATTA